TACGTAATTCTTTCGAAGTTGTACACTGTTGTAAGAGATCAATTAAATTCAAATGAATACATTCACATGAAAGAGCATTATTTGAGATATCTTGATAACTGTTTATTCCGTGGAAGAAGAACGTGAGTTTAAGGAAACGAATGTTTAATATCATAAGGTAAACGTATTCTGAATAAAAGAGAGTAAAATAAAATTAAAAATTCGCATGTGATATTAATATTGCATCATAATATCAATTAAATAGATACACCTTATAACATTAGTCTCACTTTTATTCAGATAATTTATATAATGACTATATATATGAAAATAAATGTTCTATTAAAATTAGCTATCGGATTTTGTCATATTTTAGAATCATTACAAATGTAAATTAAACGAAATGAACTATTTTTCATACATAAATATTATTCAGAAGGACTTATAAACAATAATTTCAACTCATAAAATACTTAAGTAATATTTACAATTTGTTAATGAAGTGTTGGTCAAACATTAATTTTTACTTAAAAATTATGCTGAAAGGTTTAAACGACATATCGTTTTAGTAGTTGTCAGATTATTATCGTTTGTCATCAAGGTAAAACTGGAAAATATTATTACGTGAGAAGTTAAAATTCTTAATTATAAAAGATACCAGTCATGTGAATTTAATTATTTAAGAAATTTCTCAGAAGTTAAATATCCTAATAATACTTTATTTACATATTGTTCTGCTTAATTTGTAAAAACTGTGAAAAATGTTTAAGCTTGTATAGTAAACTAATAAAGTCATATTTTTGCTATCACTATACAAAATGTAATTACATCAAGAAAGATTTGAAGTGTATAGAAATATACTTATAAATGAAATGAAATGAAAACTTTCAATCCAAAATTTATTTTATCAGGTTTTGATTTTTATTATTTTATATTTTTTGTAAATGTTTTGAGATGGAGGATTTGAACGTAAGTATATATTCTGATTTTTATTATTATCACTCTTATATGCGTAAGAAAATAACTGTTTCAGTGATTAAAAAATTTAAAATATTATATTCACTCAATTGAGACTGCTTTACAAGCTCTTTACTTAACATATTTATAAAGCTAAACGGAAAATTTATATTCTAAAAACATCATTTATTAAGTTAAAATATATTTTTAATATCTTGTAAATTTTGTTAATGGTTTAATCTCGTCTTTATTGTGTTGAAACCTACATATATCTATGAATGGGTGAGCGAGCTTATGGCAGTTACAATATCGGATTTATTTGTGTTGCCATAAAAATATGGCGTTGAACTTTCTCTTGTATAATGTTTTCTCTGAGGTCCAGTCGAAAATGTTCTCTTCCAAGGATATTTTTTATTGGCCAAAAAAACAAAAAGCTCCTAGTTTTCTACACAAACTTTATTCCTCCGTTCTAGGAACCTATTCTGTTTGGTTTTAAATCTTCCTTCTCATATTTCTTCTAACTAGAATCACAGTTAAATAATATTCTTTATATGAAGTATACAGTATGCTTAAGTTGTTCGTCTTAGAATTACGTATTGCATTAAAAATAGGATTGTAAAAACTGATTTTGTTGCAGGGCATGGTGAAGTCACAAAATAAAGAAATGACGTCAAGGAAAGACGATATCACTTCGCTTTCACAAGAGAGGTGTTTCTGGTCTGACGAAACTACTGACATTGGTAACTACCCTTCTTTGCATGAGCTTGAGGAAAACAAAAAGTCACGCAGTGCCACCAAGCGCCCCTCTGGTTCAGCAGAAGATGCATCACCCAACAGCGAATCTACTGACTCGAGCTCTGTGAACGAAGAAATCACCGTGTCGACCAAACCCAAACAACAAAGAAGATCATCAACAAACGGACATAGACGGAGACCAACATTAAATGCAAGGGAACGAAATCTTCGTCGACTGGAAAGTAATGAAAGAGAGCGCATGCGCATGCATAGCTTAAACGATGCCTTCCAAGCCCTCCGAGAAGTGATTCCCCACGTTGCGATGGAAAAGAAATTGTCCAAGATAGAAACTTTGACGTTAGCCAAAAACTACATAATGGCGCTCACAAATGTTGTGTGCGAAATGCGAGGAGAAAACAAACCCTACAAGCTCTTGCCAGTCAGCCTAGATAGCAACAACAACAATAAAGATGACGACGATCCGGCAAATATACTTTCTGAAAGCGTACTAATCCTTAAAGAAATGAGCAACCACCAGGGGAAATTGGAAGGAGTAAACGTCACTGACTTTAACATTGACGTTCACTCTCGCGATCACAACGCACTTTAGTTGAAATAGTTATAGCGTATGAATTTCAAACATAAAGAGTTAAAATCTTTTAAGAAATGTATAAACAAATCATAAAATCGAATTCTATGTCATGCTCATATTTAGTTTGTTATTTGATAGTTTGTTATAAGAAGTTTATTAAAGTGTTTTTTTTTATTATTTAACATTTGCATGTGCTCATGGAGAAGTGTAACGAAATACAGAAAACCGATTACAATACAACTTCAAAAGCTAGTATTAAGAGCGATAAGGAGTTGAAAAGAAAATACTTACAAAAGATATGAAAATGTTTTCGATAAAGAAAAGAGCTTTAAATACGAAAGATTTGGAAATAAATCAAAATCTATGATAAAAGAAGATACGTTATGAAACTAACTGTATTCTGGCTGCTAGACTTTACATATCATTATCATCTTGGCTGTGTTCAACGATAAAAAACGTCTCATTATCGTGACATTCATATTCTTATAATAAAAACTAGGTTTAAAAATTTCGAAATTTAAAGATGTAGTGAAAGCAGTAGATAATAACCGTGATAATGTTGGAATATCAAAGATATATTTAAGAATTATATAAAAGGTTTTATTTAGTACTATTACTAATATATATATATGTGTGTGTGTGTGTGTGTTTATAAAATAGGCCCTTGGAAGAAAAATTTATATTTTTTGTTACTAAATGAATTTATTTTAAACTATTTTATGAGAAATGTCTTCTTGAAAAACACATTTATATTTTGTTTGTTCTCAGGTTAGTTTAAGTAGTTACATAAGAAAACATGAAACCACAACACCCTCAGGCTAAGTAAACCAACATTTTCAATTCAAAGCTCGGTTAGTTTCCAATGAGACCCATATTTTTTCTGTTCCTACCATAACTGTCAACTGTGCTAAAAGGTGCTGGAACGGGTTAATAGAAAAATATATCTTCTTATCTTAAAATATATTAATTGTTCGCTTTCGTAATGTCGTAACGTGTAGTTTGGTTTGGAGCTTTCAAACTAGAGTTTTATTATGAATTCATTGCGATTGAAATAATGTTTTATTCAATGCACAAAAGAGCAAAAAAACTACCAGCAATTGTTGGTTTAATATGAAGTAAGTTTCTTGTGGAATTCTGTAAACTTGGAAATACGTCATTTGACTGTCATTAGATCAGTAATTCAACCTAAATTTGTATTTAATATTTCTGAAACCTAATATAATGTGTAAATACTTGAAATAAACCCAACTAGAATATTGAGCTCATATTGTTAATAATTAAGGGAAGCAACACTATGTCTAGTGAAATTAGCCAGCTAGTTATTTTTTATTTTCTGTCGGTCTATTTTGAAAATAAAAAAAGACTGAACGATAAAATTGAAGACGAAAAATAAGTTTACCTAGGTTTCAGGAATTATTTAATATTTATTAAAGGAACAAATGATAGGATTATAATATTCGTGAGAGGTAAGACTAACACATCAGTAATGAACGAATTATTTAGCATTGATGTGCTCCCATGGAAATTTGTTTTAAGTTATGTTAACAGTTGTTGTAATAGTAGACAAAATGTTTAATTAGTAATCATTCATTGAAAAAGAAAATAAAACATAGTTCGTATATAAATGTAGTGTCTATATAATGCTAGGAGCTCTTATTGTATAATTAAAATTACATAGAATGTTTGTTAATTTGAAAGGTGGCTGAAATGTAAATTCTTAATAATGATATTTTACTATTGATATATTTGTGCTTATGATGTTAAATATGTCACATTTTCCTTGATGAATTGTTACTTTAAAACTCTGGTGGTATGACTGATTTACGTGGAATGTTTAAGAATTAATTTATTTCCCAAAACAATACTGAATGTTAAAATTAATTTGTAACAAACTCTTCAGCATGTTTGTTTGTACTATCAAATAAACCAGTCACTTTAATGCTGTCTTTAACTCTCATGCGAAAAAGACCAGAGGTTCTTTCACGTAAAACTTAACGTGTTTATCTAAGCCTTGTCTTGGTAAATATATGATAGTGCTGGTGTCAGTGTTATTGCAAAATGTTTGTTATTGATATGTTCAGGTTTCAGAACTATTATTCATCGTATAATAATGCGATGTTAGATATTAGTACAGTTTGAAGTAGGTTTGAGAAGAGCTTAGAATAATATGATGCATAAAAAAATTAACTAGCTGAAGGTAATATTTCGTGAAAGAAGTGGATTTAGTAACACAATGCAGCTAACAACAAGCTTGTTTGTTCATATTTTGTGTAAAATAACTCATGCAGAATAAGTAACTATATGAAAACATACTATAGCGTGCCATTTAACTGCTTTGTTGAAAAACAACGATCGTGAATCCAACACCAAACGGTAAAGTGTTGCTACTAGTAATCAGCTAGTAAAATCAAAGTGTCTCTTTAGTGTAAAATTAACAAATGTATTATAATTCATGAATTTTTCTGTTTTTTCTTCCTTTTTCAAAATCTTATCAGGCCGTATAAAAGTATGTTGAAGAAGAATGTAGATTAGAAATTACAACTCTGTAAACAGGAAAATGAATCTATGTAGATGAGCAAGTTACGCCCTTTTGTGGCTCAGAGTAGGCTTGAAGGCTTATGACGCCAAAATTCGGGAATCGATCACTGTGATGGGTACAACACAAACAGCCTATTGTGCATCTTTGTGCTGAAAACGAACAGACAAATAAAGCACAGACAACTTATTTAAAACTAACTAACTACTTGAAAGTGTAGTGAAAAATACATCTGTGTGAAAAAATAGTTTATATGTTACATGCAACATTTTAAATAACGAACATTCTATTGTTGTTTATTAAGCAGTGAGTGAAATTTTAGCCTTCATTGTAATAACCATCTCAGATTTTTTATCCAGTAATTTTAAATAATTATATCTAATTTTACTTAGATAATTTTAGACGTAATTGAAATTAAAGTGTTCGATAAATGTTTGTTTAAAAGTGTTAAACAGATTATTGAACCATAATGTAGTTAAAGTGAACAGAAAAATTACATCAACCTGTGTTGCAACTAATTTTGTTTAACTCGTTCTTTTTTAACTAACATGCACATTCCTTATCATTTATGCCGTTTTAGTTTTTGCTTTGATTGTCCAAAAGAAAAGTTCAAAATTTCTCAAACTGCAAAGAAAGCACGAAAATTGTCATATATATTTTTTTTCATATGAAGCTTCATATAAAAGCAAGACCCATCACAGGTCTTGCCTCAAACAGAAGTTATCTATTATTCTAATACGAAGTATCGAAAACCAACAACTATGTGCTTTAAATACACATAGAAATATCATATAAATATCTAAAATTTTGCATATTTATAGATTTTCATGTCGAGATTTATTTAAAAGCACGATTTATTACATATGTTTTTTGAAACATCTGTCATATTGAATTCCAGCATGGCTATAATAAAAAATCAGTTTTTGGAAATTTATGCTTTTAATCTACATAGAAATGCCATCTTAATACCCAAAATCATATTCTCCTGGCTAGAGAGTTTGATTATAGCATTTAATTTAGTCTATGAAGCTTTTTAGTTTCAATATGGCTATTAGTTAATTTATAAAATATTTTATAATTTAACAAGTATTGTGAGTCCAGCTGATAGTTTTCATCACGCGGCAATAAACTCACAAAAGACATCTTTCAGACATTAAGCAAAATAACTTTATTAGAGTTTTATGTAGTCACATACAAAAGTACTGAAAAACAGTTATTTCAATTAAATAGAGTTGTCGAAACATTGTTTAACGACAAGTAAAAGCTTGGAATGGTCTATTCTTTCATTGAGGGTGTGTCTTGAGCCAGACTAGTTATTTCAATTATATATTGAATGTGTATCGTAATGTGAAATGTCACCCACCATCAGTGTAAACTTTACTTAAACACAAAGATTATTTTAACTTATACTATAAAAAAACACATGCTTCAATAGAATACGTAGACAAAGATAATGTAAAGTCTATCCAAACCGTCATGGATTTTCGAAACATTAAGCTTGGTAGTTATTTCTGGCACGGAAATACAGTGCAGTGCAGGACAAGCTAGTCCTGCAGCATTTGCCGAGATCTCTGATAGGGTTGTCTATAAAGGTGTCCAGCCTTGTACCTGAAGTCGGTACATCCTGTTCAGGCATTAGTGATTGTCTTATATATGACCAACCTGATAAGCAGCTCTCTTTTCATGTCGCTCAAGAGCAATCTGCATTAGAAGATGTTTTCTCTTGCTCCTCTTCCTTGAGCAAAGAGTGTTTGGTGGATCTGATTCACATTTGCAAATGCTGTGATCCCATCAGGGTGTGCTATCCATGTCTCAAATGCAGTTTCCTTTCCTCATTCAGTGACGCCTGATACAGTATTGCAGCCTATGAATGCGTAAAAGAATGTAAGAGCCTTGCGTGTACTTGGAACAAGATCATTGTCAATGCTGTGTGCTGGGACGTATGAGACGTTTTTGGCAACTCCAAAAGTGATGCATAACTCCTGAATGTGCAGCTTCTGCAGATGTTAATTTTCAAAGCTAAACCATTAATGTCCATTGTAAGCAGCCATGTTGGGAAAAATACATTTAATCTTCTACCTGAAGTCATTCACTGGTGTATTATTGCTACCCAGTGCCTTTACAAAATTAGTTGATATAATTTAATTTACGATTTTGTTGTTGTTCACTTGATTCTAGGATGCAGTAGAAAATTGAAAATAGTTAGTAGCGTGTTTTAAAATTATAATGACTTATATACTTATTTAAGAATTTAAACCAAATTCACTGGCCAAGACAACATGCATTTCACCATTTATTTGAACATTAAAAGCATATAGTTATGCTGTTTTTTGATTGTGGCCAAAATGGTGGCTATTTGGGAGAATATCTGCGATGAATCTTAAATATATAAATAACAAATCTATGTTCATTAGAAGCATATAGTTGAGTAGTGATATTTTTCAGTGGCACCCATATTCAAATCCAATATGATCGTCATCGGACAAGAGCTGCAATAGGTCTTACCTGTATATGAATCGCCAAATAAAAGTCTACATCTATGTCAATTTGTAGATATTTAGATGACACTTCTATGGACATTTAAAAAATATAGTTTGAGTTATGTAAGTTTCGATGTCGGCCATATTGGAAACCAAGATAGTGGCTGTTTGGGGCAAGATCTACTATAGGTCTTGCTTTATATGAATCTACATATAAAAAAATCTATATGTATGACAATTTTAGGTTCTTATCCGTTGGGCTATAAGGCAATCAAATATATATATGAATTATTTGATTATAAGACACATTTTCATTATCAAGAAAATGTCTAGGGTCAATTTTCTCGATATATTTTGCTCTTGATAAATTTTTTGTTACAACGAGTTATTCTGAATGACCAATATGATTTATATATGAGTGTAAATTTAGTCATGAAATAAATAACTTTTTTGCATATAGAATAATATAATAATGTTTAAACTAATGTGTAGGAAAAGCGTAAAAACCAGATAATCTTACTGAAACAAAAATTAAACTTCTAGGCACTTATAAGC